ATGAATACCGCCCTGTTTCACTCCTACGAGGTCCCTGGAGTCCTAAGATTCATGGAGACAGAAAGTAGAGGCTGGGCACAGTGGCTCACGCCTGTCATCGCAGCCGTTTGGGAGGCCAAGGTGGGAAGATCATCTGAGGTCAGGAGTTCACGACCAGTCTGGCCAACAGGCGAAACCCTGTCTCTACTGAAAATACAAAAATTAGCTGAGCGTGGGGGCCTGTGCCTGTAATCCCAGCTACTTGGGGGACTGAGGCAGCAGAATCGCTTGAACCCAGGAGGCAGAGGTGGCAGTGAGCTGAGATCGCCCCACTTCATTCCAGCCTGGGGAACAGAGCAAGACTCCGTCTCAAAAAAACAAAAAAGAAAGAAAAAAGAAAGTAGAAGGGTGGGTGCCCCAGACTGTGGAGAGGAAATCTGGAGCCGTTGTTGAATGGGGACAGAGCTTCAGTTTGGGAAAATGAGGAGGTTCTGGAGATGACGGTGCTGGCAGTGGCACGGTGAGGTGAATGTGCTCAAGGCCCCTGAACTGTGCACTCAAAATGATGAGAAGGTAAATTATTATTTTTTTAAAAATCCGGCTGGGCGCAGTGGCTCATGCCTATAATCCCAGCACTCTGGGAGGCTGAGGCGGGAGGATCATGAGGTCAGAAGATCGAGACCATCCTGGCTAACATGGTGAAACCCCGTCTCTACTAAAATTACAAAAAATTAGCCAGGCGTGGTGGTGGGCGCCTATAGTCCCAGCTACTTGGGAGGCTGAGGCAGGAGAATGGTGTGAACCCGGGAAGTGGAGCTTGCAGTGAGCTGAGATCCGGCCACTGCATTCCAGCCTGGGCGACAGAGCGAGACTCCGTCTCAAAAAAAAAAAAAAAAAAAAAAATTCCAACCTAGTTTGGCTGCTGCCCTGGGGAGTGAAGGGAGTCTGCCCAGCCCCCGCCCACATTCAGCAGCCTTCTTCCCACCCTCACCCATGCCAGGCCAAATTCCTGAAACTCCTCCCCACCAAAGGAATTGCTACCAGCAATTTCTGAAATGTCACCTCGGCCCTGAAGCCTTCCTGGGTTGAATGAGGAGGCTGAGCTGTGAGTCTGCCCCATCAGCCTTGCAAGCACAGGCTTGGGTTCCACTGAGCCTCAAGGACTGGCCTCCAGGGTCACTCATGCCCCATTATCCCTGGGGCTGGGGCCACCCTGGGGCCTGGATCTGGCTGGGGCCTCAGGTGTGGAATGAAGGAGCAATACCTGAACCAGCAGGGCCTCCACAAGAGGGTCCCAGCCATCTTCCTGCTTCTTAGCAACAGACTTCCTCTCAGAGCCAGGCCTCCAGAACCGGAGGCCCAGGGTGCCCCTGGGATTGCCGGGTCCATCTGGTGCTCCAGGTGCCTCAGACACCCAGGTGACACGAAGTACCAGTCACCACCTGCTCTCCAACCCAGTTAAAGAGCCCAGACACAGGCCAGGCGCAGTGGCTCATGCCTGTAATTCCAGCATTTTAGGAGGCCGAGGCAGGAGGACTGCTTGAGGCCAGGAGTTCGAGACCAGCCTGGCCAACATGGCAAAACCCTGTCTCTACCAAAAAAAAAAAAAAATACAAAAATTAGGCTGGGAGCAGTGGCTCACACCTGGAATCCCAGCACTTTGGGAGTCCGAGGCAGGTGGATCACTTGAGGTCAGGAGTTCGAGACCAACCTGGCCAATATGATGAAACCCCATCTCTACTAAAAACACAAAAATTAGCCAGGGGTGGTGGTGCACGCCTGAAATCCCAGCGACTTGGGAGACTGAGGCAGGAGAATGAGAATCGCTTGAACCGGGAGTTGGAGGTTGCAGTGAGCAAAGATCACGCCACTGCACTGCAGCTTAGGTGACATCAAGAGACTCTCTTAAAAAAAAAAAAAAGGCCGGGTGCGGTGGCTCACGCCTGTAATCCCAGCACTTTGGGAGGCCGAGATGGGTGGATCACGAGGTCAGGAGATTGAGACCATCCTGGCTAACACAGTGAAACCCCGTCTCTACTAAAAAGTGCAAAAAACTAGCCGGGCGAGGTGGTGGGCGCCTGTAGTCCCAGCTACCTACTTGGGAGGCTGAGGCAGGAGAATGGCGTAAACCCGGGAGGCGGAACTTGCAGTGAGCTGAGATCCGGCCACTGCACCCCAGCCTGGGCGACAGAGCAAGACTCCGTCTCAAAAAAAAAAAAAAAAATTAGCGGGCATGGTGGCACGGACCCGTAATCCTAGCTACTCGAGAGGCTGAGGTGCGAGGATTGCTTGAGTCCCGGAGGCAGAGGCTGCAGTGAGTTGAGATTGAGCCACTGTACTCCAGCCTGGGTGACATAGTGGGACCTTATCACAAAAGAAAAAAGAAAAAAAGAGCTCAGACACCCCAGTCCTTCCAGGGCATCAGACAGGCTGAGACTCAAAGAGGAGAATATGTCTGTTTTTCTTTTTTTTCGAGACAGGGTCTCACTCTGGCCTAGGATGGAGTGTATCACGACTCACTGCAGCTTCCAACTCCTGGCCTCAAGCGATCCTCCCGCCTCAGCCTCCCAAAGCGTTGGGATTACAGGCATGAGCCACCGCACCTGGTTCCTGTCCTCTGTTGCAATTAGGCAGGCAGCTCCAAGGATGCACAGAGGCACCTCCTCCCTCCCCCAAGCCCCACCCAGGATGGAGACCCCCACCCAGGTCTTGCAGGACAATGGGTCCAAGCACGCCCCAACTTGCCCACCTGCCAGGCCTGTGAGGAGAGGCTCTCTGGGTGGCCGCTGGGTGAGGACCTTTCAAGGTCAGGGGAACCCACTAGTGGGACAGATCATGAGGAGAGTTTGGAAGGAGCTTCTGTGGAGGCCTCAGAGACCCCCAGACCATGTGGCTTCCCTCACACAGCCAGTAGGTGGGGCCTGCTCAGGTCCACCCCAGCACCCACAGGCCTGGCGTTCAGAGGTGGCCTGGGACTGTCTGATGTCCTGCTGTCCGGGTCTGCACCAGCTGAGAGCCAGTGCACAGGACAGTGTTCTGAGGAAAGCAGAACGTGCTGGTCACCCCAGTCCCCATCAATACTGGAGTGGCTCCTTGTCACCCAGCTGGCCCACAGCAGGAACAGGAGATCCCAGAGCAGCTGCATCAGCAAAGCAGCATCGAGCCCTCGAGGGTATGCCATGGGGTCATGGGGGACCGGGCAGCCCCCCGTCTCCTGACACCTCCTGTTCCACCCTGTGGCCACAGCCCTGGGGAGCAGGGACAAGCACAGCGGCCGGGTGTGACCCATATCCCCAGCTCCAGTTTGCAAGGCATCAGTCTCCCTGGCTGTGAAATGAGAACGACCCCCACAGCATCCACGCTCCATGGCGCTACCCGACAGAGGAGGCGAGTCACTGAGGTCATGGACCGATTCTGAGAAGGCACAGGCGTGGCCCTGTGCCCAGCAGCACGGGGCATGGGGAGGGCTGAGAACAGCTCTGTGGTGGGCCAGGCCAGAAGCTTAGCAGGTGGGCCAGGCACACCTGCACCCACTGGGAGGGGAGGGCCACTGAAGGGCCCAGCAGGCCAGGGAAGTGCCCTCTTTCTTCCTCCTGCCAGGCTGGGAAGCCCAGAGGGCAGCTGGAGAGGGGCTCTGAGTCCAGAGAAGCTGCTCCCAGGCTGTGTGGCCAGGGATCAGAGGTTCAGAGACAAGCCCAGCTCCCCTCCCTGTGGGCCACAGCAACCCCAGGCCAGGCCCTTTCTCACTGACTCTCCAGGGGAGCATTCCTGAACAGGAGGAAATAAAGATCTGGGGGAAGAGATTCTGGTGCAAGCCAGCCCAGGGGACCGCCCCCACCACACCATTGCACTGGCCCTGCAGCCGCCCTGCCTCAGGAGACCACGGAAAGGCCGTGGGTCCTGCCTGTCTTTCCAGAAAAACCTGTCACTATCTCCCCTCTGGGACACCCCAGCTCCTGGTGTGGACTCTCAGGACAAGCTGTGGCTGGACAGCAGCCACCACGACCTGGGGCTGGCAGAGACCCCTCCATCCCGGAGGGAATCAGGTCCTATTTCCCGGGTGTCCAGACTGCATGCTGAACCAGGGCCTTGGGGGCAAATGCAGGGTCTTCCCCCGCTCTCTCCCTGGGGACCTCAGCCATCGTTGGTGAGTTTAGGTTTGTCCCGAGGGGCTCAGGCTATTGGCCCCCAGATTCCTGGTGTGCCTCGGGTGGCAGGACTGCCCTGGCGGGGCCCTCTCCCCACAGCGCTGCCGGCCTGGGGCTGACAGCTTCGAAGCAGGGCAGGGCTGGTCTGGGCACTGGGCCCCGTTCACAGCCAATGGCAGGACCAGTGGCCTGGAAGGGAGGGACTCCCCGCCTTTGGACTCCAGTGCCTTGAAATCCCACAGACCTAGGAACCGAGTCAGGGATGCCCGGCCAGGAGAACGAACGGGCGGGCGGCAGGTGGACGAGGACCTGCGTCCGGTCCCACCTCTTCCAGGCCTCACCTGTCCTGGCGCCCGCCCCGGAGCAGCCAGGTGCAGGGAGCCGGGGGAGGGGCGCCGCTCACACCCAGGGACCCCCGGTGCGGGGAGGGAGTGAGGCATGACGTCACCGCGAGGTGGCCCGGGAGCCGGGGGACCCCAGAGTCCAGCAGAGCCCTCCAGCCGGCGGCCCGTTCCCTCCCTGCAGCCAGCCCCGATTTCCTCTTTCTGTGCGGAGCCCGAGCTTTCGCAACGCGGCGGGCGGTCCGCGGTGACCGTCAGACACGCAGCCCGGCGGGGGAGGGGAGGCGGCGGCAGGGGGGTTTCCGGGGGTCCTGGGGGCGCCCCCCGCTCCGCCCGGCCCGGGGAGACGTCCGGGTCCCGCAGGTGCAGCCGGGCCCGGGCCCCATCCGAGCGCCGGCCGGGTGTTCAGCGCCGCCACCCCCGCGGCGTCTGCGGTCCCCCGCCCGGTCCCTGGGGCCCACCCAGGACCCACCCGGCACCCCGCGCCCACCCGGGACCCACCCGGCCCCGCGCCCACCCGGCCCACACCTACCCGGGGCGCCGCAGTCCGCGCAGCGCGCGTTCCCCGGCCGCTGCAGCAGCTCCAGGACCGCCCTGCGCCGCTCCTTGGCCATGGCCGCGATGCGCCCGCGATGCCGATGCCGGGGCCGGGGCCGGGAGCGTCCGCCGGCTCGCTAGGGCCCCGCGCAGGCCGCCCGCCGCCGCCGCCCCTGCGCCATGCCGGGCGGCCTCAGCCCGCGCGCCGGTTCCGCATTCCCGCCGCCCTCCGGGCTCCGCCGCCGCCGCTCGTGTCTCCGCCGCGGTCGCTGAGCGAGTGCCGGCGCGGGGCCCGGGGCGCACGCTGCGCTCTGGCCGGCAAGGCCCGCGGGCGGCCCCCAGCGGTGCAGGCGAGCGTGTGGCCTCCTCCCTCGGCCGCTCCGGCGCCCCCAGCCCGCGCGCCCCGGGGACCCACCGGGAAGTCGCCCGCTGCCCGCCCCTCATCCGCGCGCAGCATCCCACCTGCCTGGGCGAGAGGCCGCCCCAAAACCTGGCCGGCCTGGATGGGACCCTCGTGCTGCCACGCGCGCTGGGACGGAGCCTGCACACCTACTGTGGGGGGTGCAGAGGGCACCTGCCGAGCCCCCCAAGACCATGGGCACGGGGGTGCTCGTGCAAGGCAGGCGTGTGTGTTCTGCGCTAGGGACCAGGGCGCTCACACCATCCCTGCCTGGGAGGGGCGGCCAGCAAGTGACAAACGCCAGCATCCCAGGGCACTGAGGCCGCAGAGGGCCCAGAGGGAGCTTCCCCCTGAGACCCACCCAGCTGCCCACCACCCACAGAGGGGACCCTCTGAGCACTCCTCCCACTCAGGCAGGCTGAGGGGCCCGGCCGGGACTTCACATGGGGGCTGACAGGTAACAAAAAGCCTGGTTTTGATGTCGCCTTCCCCAGACTTGGGTGCCCTTCCTCTGCACACCCCAGCGTCTTTTCAAATTCTTTCCATTTTCTTCTTATATTGTTAGTGCAGTACGCCTGGCTGAAAACAAACTGGAACATACCAGACTGAAAAAGGAAAGCCTCCCCCCACTGCCTTCCAGGCAACCACTATTAACAAACAATTCCTCAGCACCTTCCAGAATGAACGGTCTGAGGCCTGTGGCCTTTCATTTATTTAATCATTTATGGAGACAGGGTTTTGGCTACCGGCTGTAATCCCAGCACTTTGGGAGGCCAGGGCCGGTGGATCGCTTGAGCTCAGCAGTTTGAGACCAACCTGGGCAACATGGCAAGACCCCATCTCTACAAACACAAAATTTAGCCAGGTGTGATGGTGAGGGCCTGGAGTCCCAGTTACTCAGGAGGCGGAGGCAGGAGGATCACTTGAGCCCAGAAGCTGAGGCTGCAGTGAGCTATGATGGTGTCACTGCACTCCAGCCTGGGGAAGAGAGGGGAGACCCTGTCTCTAAAAAAAAGAATTTTTTTTTTTTTTTTTTTTTTTTTTGTAGAGATGGGGGTCTTCCTATGTTGCCCAGGCTGGTCTTGAAGTCCTGGGTTCAAGTGATCCTCCTGTCTCAGCCTCCCAAAGTCCTGGGATTGCAGGCGTGAGCGCTGTGCCCGGACTCTTTCATTTTGAATGGTTGCATTCTTTTTTTTTTTTTTTTTTTTGAGACGGAGTCTTGCTCTGTCGCCCAGGCTGGAGTGCAGTGGCGCGATCTCCCCTCACTGCAAGCTCCGCCTCCCGGGTTCACGCCATTCTCCTGCCTCAGCCTCCCGAGTAGCTGGGACTACAGGCACCCGCCACCTCGCCCGGCTAGTTTTTTGTAATATTTAGTAGAGACGGGGTTTCACCGTGTTAGCCAGGATGGTCTCGATCTCCTGACCTTGTGATCCACCCGTCTCCGCCTCCCAAAGCGCTGGGATTACAGGCTTGAGCCACCGCGCCCGGCCGAATGGTTGCATTCTACTCAAAAGTTCGGCTGGGTGCCGTGGCTCATGCCTATAATCCTAGCACTTTGGGAGGTCGAGGCAGGTCCAACATGGCGAAACCTCGCCTCTACTAAACACAAAGAAATTAGCTGAGCGTGGTGGCGCATGCCTGTAATCCCAGCTGAGGCTGAGGCAGGAGAATCACATGAACCTGGGAGGTGGAGGTTGCAGCGAGCTGAGATTGTGCCATTGCACTCCAGCCTGGGCAACAAGAGTGAAACTCTGTCTCAAAAAAAAAAAAAAAACAAAAACTCAAAAAAAGTTCAACTGGACCATGACTTGTTCACCCAGTCACTGGCGTAGAGGCATTTAGTGCGTTATGAATGCATCAGAATCATGGTCTATACAGCCTCATCTTTTTTTTTTTTTTTTTTGAGACGGAGTCTCGCTCTCTCGCCCAGGCTGGAGTGCAGTGGCCGGATCTCGGCTCACTGCAAGCTCCGCCTCCCGGGTTCACGTCATTCTCCTGCCTCAGCCTCCCGAGCAGCTGGGACTACAGGCGCCCGCCACCTCGCCCAGCTAATTTTTTGTATTTTTTAGTAGAGACGGGGTTTCACCATGTTAGCCAGGATGGTCTCGATCTCCTGACCTCGTGATCCACCCGTCTCGGCCTCCCAAAGTGCTGGGATTACAGGCTTGAGCCACCGCGCCCAGCCCACAGCCTCATCTTTGTGAGAGTTTCGTGTGGATTTGCACTCAAAGTGGCATCCCTGGGGCAATGGTATGGGATGTGGAACGGCCTCCACTGAGGCCTCACTGACCAGAGTGCCACCAAAGACACCTGTCTCCCTGCTCCAGCCGACGTGGAATGACGGAGCTGCTTAAGCTCTGTCCACCTGAAGCAGAACGCAGCAGCCTGTTTTGGTCTGCGTCTCTGGGATCATGCGCCCTGTGGCGTCACATGCCCTTTCCCTGTAACCGTTCACACAGGTCTTTCTCCTCCCTCAGATGGGAGCCTTTGGGGTGGGGATAGGTGGCATTTCCATCTCTGGGTCCCTGTGCCAGGCTTGGAATCCACCACACAGCACGAGCTTGGGGAATGTCACCTAATAAAGACAGATGAATGTTAACAACAGCAGCAGCTCTGCACTAGGTATTAGGAGAAATAGCCTGACTTGTATTTTCCTTTCTTTTCTTTTTTAGAGACAGGTCTTGGTCTATCGCCCAGACTGGAGTGCAGTGGCACGATCTCAGCTCACTGAAACCTCTGCTTCCTGGGGTCAGGTGATTCTCCTGTCTCAGCCTCCTGAGTAGCTGGGACCACAAATGGGTGCCACCATGCCCAGCTAATTTTTTTTTTTTTTTTTTTTGGTAGAGACTGGGTTTCCCCATGTTGCTCAGGCTGGTCTCGAACTCCTGACTCACATGATCTGCCTGCCTTAGCCTCTGAAAGTGCTGGGATTACAGGCCTGAGCCACCACGCCCGGCTTGACGTGTATTTTCTTTCTTTCTTTTTTTTTTTTTTTTGAGAGGGAGTCTGTCGCCCAGTCTCTGTCGCCCAGGCTGGAGTGCAGTGGCGTGATCTCCGCTCACTGCAAGCTCTGCCTCCCGGGTTCACACCATTCTCCTGCCTCAGCCTCCCAAGTAGCTGGGACTACAGGCGCCTGCCACCACGCCCGGCTAATTTTTTGTATTTTTTGTAGAGATGGGGTTTCACCATGTTAGTCAGGACAGTGTTGATCTCCTGACCTCGTGATCCACCCACTTCAGCCTCCCAAAGTGCTGGGATTCCAGGCGTGAGCCACTGTGCCCGGCCTTGACATGTATTTTCTTATGGAAGCCCTATTTTCAGTTGGGAAGACTGAGGCACAGGGAGGTTCAATCCCTTGCTGGAGGCCACACACCTCAGGACTGGAATACACATAAAACAATATAACAAAGCGACACACCCTAACAGAGCCCAGAGCCTTTACTCAAGGTCCCCAAAGAGGGGGAGGCCATCGTACGAGGAATAGAAATGGCGGCAGGGAGGCCTCAGGGGAACAGGTGCCCAACAGGCCAGAGCTTCCAGTATGAGCCAAGACCATCGATGGCCTGCTGTTCCAGGGCCTCCTCCGTGGGAGGTTCCAGCGGGTACGTGTCTTGCCTTCTCTGTCCTTCCATCCTGCTAAGGGAACTGTGGCATCACTCGGGGGACAGGAAGGCATGAAGATGACACGGAGGTGGTGAGCCACGTGATCTAAGAGATGTCAGGGCTGACGGGGATTCTTCAAAAGAGGAGGCTGCCTGGCCGAGGTCCACAAGTACCTGCCTGGACCCCCGAGAGCACAGCCATCCTGAGATCTGGCTGCCCCCAGTGGTTGTGGTCAGGGCTGGGCGGGGCCGGGGGGGAGCCCAGGACTCAGGAAGAATCCGGAAGGTAACAGCATAGCTCAGGGCGGGCCAGACCCAGACCTGTGCTGGTCAAAGGCTGTTCTGGCCAGCAGCGGCTGGCGAGGGGCCTGGACAGGTGGCCTGCCTGCTCCTGCTCATGCCCAGTGGCCCACAAGCTCTGCTGAGCCTCCTGCCCATCGTCACTGACCTGCACAGCTGCACCAGGGACCCTGACACTCATTCCTCAAGCGTCTTCCTAGTCCAGAGCTAGAGGCACCTGCCTCCTGTGACCACTCAGCCGCGCAGCAGGCCCCGGGCAGGGGGCTCCTGAGAGCAGGGCTGAGCTCCTTCAGCGTCCCCTGAGCATGGGGCCTGCACACAGTAGGCCCGCAGGTGACTTTGATTGGAAGCTGGTTCCTCCCAGGTAGAGGGGGGCTGTCCCCAGGGAAGAGGCAAATGGACTGAGGCCGGGCTGGGCCCTCTCTGTGACCATCTTGCCCAACACTCAGCCAAGCATTTGCTCAATCCAGTAGCTGCCTCAGGGGAGGGGAGGGTGGTGAGGTTCACTTCCCTCTCCGCCCCATGCAGGGGCCGGGGCTAATTCAGTCCAATTATCTGTGCTTGGACAGCGCCTCACACAATGGTCGAGAGTCAGGAGGCTGCCCTGCAGGCCAAGGAGGGGTCTTCCACGTCCAGGCTCAGCATGGGGGTGGGCCGCTCCTGGCTCTGCCTGCCTCATTTGTGGGGATGGGGGTCATGATGTTGGGCCCCCGTGTGGCCGGCCCCCTTCTGGGTAGCCCACTGGCTGCAGCCTGTACCCTGTCCTCTGTGTCTGTGCCTTTGGCCTTGTGCAGACCCTCCTGGGCCTTCTGCCTGCTGTGGGGGCCCCGCCACCCCTCGGGCACCTGGAGTAGGAGCTCAGCAGTGCATGGATCCTAAGGAGCTCTGCTCAGGAAGGGCTTAAAGGAGACACAGGGATTCCCCAGAAACAGCTGCTGTGCCCCGAAATGCAGGGGACAGGGAAACACCACCCAGGACCAGAGGCGGTCTCGGCACCATTTTCCGGGAGTGGGGCTAGACCCGGAAACCCTTTCGGGGGCAGGGAGTCTGCAGG